GCTTTGTTTTGTTTTGTTTTAGGAATTTCCATGGATACCTTATTCCCTAGTTATCATGACCCTAGCTATCACGCTCCCAGCACAGGAAAGAGCTGTTTGGAACAGCCTTCTATGATGCAGCGATGACATGATTGGACAAAGGAAGAGTTACTGATGTTGTCTTCCTGGACTTGTGCAAAGCCTTTATCATGGTCCCATATTACATCCTTATCTCTAGGAGAGGCCACCCTTCAAATCCGTATATTTGCTGTATAAAGAATTGGTTGAATAATTACTGTGCCCATAACACAAGAAAGACAAAGAGCAGTTGGAATGGGTCTAGTGGAAGGCCATGAAAATGATCAAAGGGCTGGAGCACCTCTCCTATGCAGAAAGGCTGAGAGAGTTGGGCTTGTTTACGTTGGAGAAGGGTCCTGAGTGTCCTCATTGCAGCCTTCCAGTACTTGAAGGGAGCTTATAAGCAGGGTGGGGACTGAATTTTTACACTGCCTCATAGTGTCAGGATGAGGGGAAATGGCCTTAAAGTAAAAGGAGAGGAAATTTAGGAACCTAACATCCAGCTAAGCCATTCTGTGATTCCATGATCTAACAAGTTGTTTGTCAAGACTCATATCTCTAGTAATGGCTTTGAGAGAAGACTGCAACTGAAATTCCTTTTCTGTTCTTCCACGGCAATAGCTGCTCATGTAAACTTCCAGCACTGACTTGGAAGACTACAACTGTCACCATCCTTTACAACTATGTTACTCTTTCCACCTCAACCTCCAAAATGTGATTAGTCCCATCATCTGATCATGTCTCTGCAACCGTGCATCCTATCTGAAAGCCAATTTTATTTTAAAAAGATAATAAAAAAACAAACAAACAAAAAAACACACATACACACACACACACCAAAGAAACAGCAGAAGAAACAGGAGAAATAGGAGAGGAAATGGCCAAGAAAAACACGTTAAAACAAACCCAGCAGAATAATCAGCAAAGAAATGTAGCTAGTTCAGAGATTAAATATAGCGGTTAGTCTAAGATGAAAAACTTGTCCAACAGGAAACAGTCTTCCCCAGTGCGTGTCTCCTATCTTGTTCGTCAGCACAGTGCCCCATAAGACAATTTCTTAAGAAGAAGCATGTCAGCTTCAGACCTAGCAGATACAACCACTGGGGTTAGCAGTTCAGCAGTCTAGCAATGTTCTAGCTTTATATCATCATAGGAAAATATATCAGCATGTAAGCTTGGATGAAGTCAGTAATTTACATACGTGAACATAAACTCCAACCCATTCAAAATGATTTTATGTACATGGGTCCTCCTATTTAATTCCATGGAAACTACACCAGATACAAAGAACACAGTAACGCTATTTATTTCTCACTATTCTCAGCTACAAAACACTTTTTTTTAACATAGTCACCACCATAAGCTATGCATTTTCACCAGCATGAAACAAGAGCCTGCATGCTGTTATCAAAAAGATCTGCTCCAGCAAAGATGACCCACTGTCACAGTAACCACTGCTAAGATGCACCACCTGCTGCCTCACTGTGCTCACATCCACTCTTTGGTCTCCACAAATTTTCAGCCAGCATTGATGAATGATCAGTGGGTGCTTTTTTTTCCTGCATGGAAGAATTCAGTGACACACCTTTGCTTCATACGCACTTCCACATCAGATGCCATTTTGTCAGACTGCCCCCTATGCTGCCATCTGTCACATGGCAACAAAACATAATGGTGTTGGTGGGAAGGTTCAACCCTTACTGCCATCCCACCAACATCCACCTCTGATATAGTGGGCCAACGTCATGAAACAGGAGGCATTACTTTCAGAGCAGCCCTTGTATCTTGCGATAGCTCTTTTGTCAGCTATCCAGTTCTAATTTTATTTGCCTGTTTTCACAAACTTATTGTCACAACATTCACCGAGTGTTTTGCCAGTGTTACAATGGTATTAGGATTTGTTCTGAAATATTAATCTAAGGCCAGCAATCGCTTCACTCTCAAAAACTCCACTGAAGTAAAAAAAAAGACTCCCATTATACACTACTGACAGAACACAGAGGTAAAAATGAGTCTTCCAAAAAATAAAATGAACAGACCATGAATATATATCACAATGACTTCCCTAAAGTTGACAGCTTATGGGCGACTGCCCAATGCTCTGATTTTGAAAAGAGAGACTCTTGTATAAGGTAATGAAATAAGTGCCTTCAAGATGTATGCTGGGGCTAGGGATAGTAACAGAAAACCAACTTCTGCCTCATAAAAACATGCCACCACAACAGAAATAAGGAAATCAGACAGCAGTCTTCGTCAGTATAATTGAAACTATCCACTGTTCCTGGATTTTATTACCTTCTGAATATTAAAATCTACAAAGAATATACACTATTTTTTTGGAACAATCCTTGAAGTAAGTTGCCAGAAGAAAAAAGCACAGTACAGCAATTGCGTGTTGTCTAATTCTTGTAATGTAAATAGAGAAATTTCGAATACATATACCTAGAGATTTGCAAATATAGGCTGCTAGATGTATCTATCATACCTGAAGGTTTCAAAAAGCCTTTACATTTTTAGAAATCAAGATAAGGTCATGATTTTAATACTATGAAAACTGAGGAATGTTATAAAAACCAAACAAAAAAAAAACAAAACAACCAATCAAAAAACCCCAATGCCTCTGTATCTACTTTAGAATGCTACTTTAAAATGGGATTCACCGCCCAGTTAGGAAAAATCCATCAACAAAAACCAATCAACCAGCCAAAAACCCTATGAATACTTTTAATGCATGCAGAGATAAGAAAAAAAATTGTGAGTGTAGTGGTGGCCAATCATGAAGTAAAACCAATCTCATCACATTTTCCTTTGCAACAGCTACAAAACTTTGGAGACAACTTCTCTGTGCAATAGTATTTCACACAGAGAGAAAGGTTCATATGAAAATCTTATGCAGTAGCAAAACAGCATCTATTTCATCATTTTAATCGCTGAGGACAATTAGCATCATTAGGTTAAAAAAATTTCAAGTAACAAGAATGTTAGCAATACATACAAAATGTTAGTACAGTCACATCTCATCTAGTTCATGTGCCCTTAACTTTGGCTCTTTAAGCAATTCTTAGCTTATGTATTTGATACAGCTGCATGTGAGCTAAAAGTAAAATTATACTATAGCCACCTGACATGGGTAAGGCAAAAAGCAGTGAAGATGCAGCAGAAGAAACCTGAAGGTGTGCTAAAAATCTCTGTATATAATGTATATATAGGTTAGGGCAGCCTCTACTGCTGCTTCTGCTCAGCTGTAGTTACCAAATAGAGCTCAGCAGTCAAGAAAGCAAAGAATATGGAAGAAAGGACAAATAAGAGGTCAGAAAGATAGAGAGAATACATCAACACTGTGTAGAAAAGCAAGTACAGAAAAATATTACAGGAATACTTAAAATACTGAATGTTTATTATGGTGAGGTGTTTCAATGAGATATCCATTACAAATCATTACACAACGTAAGAAATGGAAAAGAAAAGATAAATTAGGAGCTTCTGCTTTCCATGTTCGTGAAAACTACTTCTAATGAAATTTAAAACCGGAATTAAAAATGAAACCTCTGCATAAAACAGTTACAGTATGGAAAAATCATTACTAAGAGAAGTTATGCTGACTGCAAAAATGAGTATGTTAGTATGGATAACAGAAGTATCCATTCTAACAGGCCTTAATGTTTAAAAATGAGAACCAAATGTTTCTGAGCAGAAGCTAAAGAGTTATGCTAACTACTGTGAGACTTTCCTACATCCTCTTACTCAGTTCCTGCATCTTCCTCAGGAGCAATCTCATGCTGGACACTGCTGGTAATTGGATTCAGAAGATTCTGTTAGTATATGCTTGAGATGTACGCACTGTCTTGTAGAGACAAAATGCATTAAGAGAGGAAATGCTTAGGGATTGATTCAGAGCTTGCTATCTTCCTTAAGAGTAAACTGCTTCTACTGAGGCTGGAATTTTTTTTTATTCCCTAGCCATTATATATTTGGATGGCAGAGGCCCTGTTCCCCATAGAGCAATAGGATAAAAATTCATCTTTACTGGAAATCATCTGTAGGGAACACGAAGGTAAGAAAATATTTCAGCAACAAATAGTCACTGAAGCATGCTATTTTAACTGACTGGTTCTGACAGTGGGTTAATTTTCAGCAGTCATTTATGAGAATTATGTTGCTTATTGGTCAGTAATTTGACATATCCTAAGCACATACTGTCTTCCTTTCCATGTCTATGAGAAATTCTACCAGCACCATGAGCAATATTCTTGATTGAAGAAAAATTATGACACATATGGCATCCATGTGTACACAGCAGTGGAATCATTAATACCAATGCTTTATTAAGAGTTGATAGTGATGAACACTTGCACGTGCTGTTACTAAACAATGATGCAATCAAGAATGTACCAGTTCTCATGGGTGTTAGGCTTATAAACATTTGTGCAACAGGCACTTCTATTTTTCTTACCGTGATTAATGCAAAGACAATGATAAGGGAAACCAAAGGCAGAATTTTCTGCTACTTCTCTTTTAGTACGAATATCCCTAGTGCCCTTATTTTGCTTAAAAGTATGCTTTGTTGAAATTTCCGTACACATATTAAATTAGCTTTAACACTTTAGCATGGCAAAAAAGGGTTATTACACAGCAATAGAGCACTCTGGCATTCCATTTCAATATAAAATGAATGTAATTACAGCAATTTTTGGCTTTGCCATTTTGCAGTAACAGAGACCTGCATCCCTTACAGAAACTAGTATATTTATTTTCCATGATGTTTTCTATGCTAATCTTTGTTTCCAGAGGTAAATTATCAAGCATTACAAAGTGCTATAAAGCATTGTAAAGTACATCATCTGATGCTTCTTTAAAAAAAAAGAATATATTCTTCACATTAAAAGATAAACAAGTGTAATGTATACATCCAAATAAAATAAATTGGTAAATAGTATTCTTACCAAAGGCCTAAGTTCTGGATGAGTCAAAATATATCCATTGTTTGTAATTGCAAAAGCATATCCATGAATACCTAACTGTAAGAGTAAATGAGAAAGAAATACTAATTAGCATGGCCTACAGTAAATTCTTAAACCAAAAGCAGGCAAACATTCAGTTATCCAGGGCTTAAAGATGATATTCACAACAGTACCCACACAGTATTTCACTATAATATATGCAGAGCTTTGATCCCTGACATTTTTGCAAATGAGAACCTGCCATTGTGATGAATTCAGCATATAGCACAACTTTAAAATGTCACAGACTTATTTTGTTATCTAGGACACTCACTTCTATGTACCTTGGAGTGAATTAGATATATACGCATACACAGCACATCCCATACAACGTGTATCAAATCAAAGGATGCTGACACCTTCACACATTCCCTGGAGCAGCGAGGTTTGGTTCGCCTCGTTTGTTCAAGTGATGTTGTAAAAGAAGCACTCAAATCAATGATACTGGAAGTACAGTTACACTGATCAAACAGTGACCTGCCATAGATGATATTTACATTTAGCTCTCTGTTAATTCAGATTCATTGGGAGACTCAGAAGAAGGCATGGATCTATAAGAAATTAATCTAATTTACATGTTTGTACCAAGTGGAATTATGGGACATTATACGAGAGCAATGAAATGCTTTATGAAGCCCAACGGGATACATAATCAAATTTAACACTGAACTTATTTAAATAATGCTACTACTCTTTTAACAATACGTCCATTACACAGCTGAGTGCACCTACCGAGTGCCCAAATATACCTGCAAATCATTCACGTGGTCATTCAACATCCCTTCTTAGCATAACTGTGATGCTAATATAGTATCTTTCTGCAGCTTCAGTGTGTAACTGCCTTCTGCCATGCTGAGGGCATGCTTGCTATGCATCCTCACTCAGTGCTTTCCAATTGTGAAGCCAAATAATATGACATTCCATAGTGCTGTGAAACTGCTCAATGTGAATGTGATTCAGTTTCAATAGCCATATCTTTATGTAAGCATCTTGATTTGTTGAGGTATCAAAACAAAACAAAGGAAAACCTACAACCCAGAAGTATTTTGCTTTGGCGTTTGTTCCATGTTTCTCCCTGCTAACAAAAAAACTTTTGAAAACATAATATTTCCCTTGTTCCCTATGAACGATCTGGTTGAGCAAAGAGAAAACTGTCTTTATTCAGCCATATGCCTTACTAAGATGTTTAAATTCAATTCAAGCTTTTTTTTTTATTTCCTCATACTTTACTCCATTCTTAAATGCTTTGCTGAAGTGGATCCTCGGGACTTTGTCTGGCATGAAGCAATGTGAGAAAGGTTGACAAGCTAGAATCATTTCTAAGAGATAAATAGGACAGCAACTCTATGGGCTTCTGTAATTTTCTGGGAATATATAACGGAGTACTACATTATGGCAAGGTCATAGAGAAAACATGCCACGTAGATTTATACCATATCTGTCTGTGAATGATTGTATATGGTCAACTGTATCTCCTATAGAGAAGATTGTTTCATAAATTAGCAGTTTTCCTAAAGCAATAAACTTCTATGAAAGTAATAGAAGGTGATATGTTCTTGGCATCTCTTCATAAAGGAAGGAGAACCAAAATAATAACAGTGGACATATTTTACCTATTATAGTATGACAAGTGAACTAGCTGTTGGCTAAATATCAGATCTTGAGTATAACTGCCTGTGTTGATAACTGCAGAATGATGTCCAAGCAATGGATGTCAGGTAACAAAACAAATGTGGGTGGTACACTTCACAGCATAAAAAGCATTTGCCAATTTGAAGTATACCAGCACAGCAAGGGTAGTATTTGCGTGTTGTGCAATACATGAGACTGTATACTTTGCACATAAAATGCTTTGGTTCGAGAGAGAGTATTGCTTACAGCTGTGTTGCCACTTTTAAGCTTGAACTCTCTAAATGACAAACTGATTGAGAAACGAAAAAATTTTGTAACAGTAAAATGGCACATGAAAAGTAAATCCAACCCTACCTTATTAATAAGAAACTCCCACTGACATCTGGGGAAGTTTAGTCTGGAAAATGACTGCTGAAAATAGCTCATTGTTATTATTCATCTTCCTCAGCATAAAACCCATCTCATCCAAGCTGAGAGAATTCCAGGTCAGCAGAATTCTATTTCCAACCAATCATTTTATATCCCTGTGTGAATTTTATTTCACATACTGCCTCTACAGGAATGGGTCCCAGGGGCGATTATGCTCTTGCAATTGCATGGTCTTTTTACTGTTCAGAAATGTTTATGGTATGTGAGACTGGAAGTTATAACTCAAATGGTTTCACTAACGTAATTGTATTGCATGATATTGATGCCTCTTGTAATAATCTTCTCTTGCCTTACATCCTGCAGTATAAAATGTACTTTCAAATAGTCTTGTATTTAGAAACAGGATTGTATATTACTTCCTCAGAAAGCTAAGTCTTTAAAAATATTATATCTTATGAATAAACCAAAAATTTTAATCTCCTTGCCTATCTTCTCCTTTTCTGAATCACTTTGAATAAATCTGCTGCAGTACCTGTCATTCAGGGCCTTCACTCTATACTTTGTGTACATTCAGAATATGTCCAAATCTTACAGAAGCCTTCTGAATAATATCTCTGTGATTTGGACATTATTATATAGCCATGAACAGCCAGGCTTTCACCAGTCATACCTTCAGTTACTACAACACTGTTCATCCTTTTCATTGCAAATGAAACTTGTTCTACTCTTAGCTTATGGGAAGGTGACAACAAAGATTTTCATTGCTCCAGATTTAGCATATGCAATCCTTTTCTCTGCCACCTTCTAGTGATTCTGCATACACAAAAGTTAATTAACTCAGTGGTTCCTGTATTGAGACTGTACTGTTATTTATCCTGACCTGGAATGTCTCTCTTCACTAAATCCTGCTACTAAGGTGTCATCTGCTGCCTCTTCTCACACTCTGCAAATTTCTTTCCAGTTAGGACAGCCTTTCTGTTCTGCATTTGCATAGAGTCTATCCCAGTGGGATGCAAGTTTCAAGAAATTATTGCCATACACCATATCAATATAATTTTCATTATTTTATGTTGTCTTTTTTTAAAATCAAATTCTTATTTAATTTAAACCACCCAAATGTGGCATGTTGATCTACAAAATCATTTGCTAGTTGCCAGTGCATTAAAATTAGAATGGATTTGAAATTTTTTTTTAGTTTTACTTTTTTTTTAGTTTTACTTTTTTTGTTGTTTAAATAAGTGCTGCATGTTCTGCAAATTTGGTTTAAAAAATATTTAATGTAGAATTTTTGCTGACTTTGAAAAACTACATAGCGGGAAAATATTTTATGAAGACTTTTTAGGAGGGAAAGAAACACTGGTCTGGTTGGGCATTTGCTGGAATGCATTGCTTGCCCTAATTTAGTTTGGTACAGGAAAGATACATGGAGGGGAATCCTAAAGGCAAGAGTTTTGCATTCTCTTAATAAAAAAATATTCAAATCTTCTGCACTGATTTCTTGTTATTTTGAGCGGTGTTCTGCTTATATTGGGTGGTTGAATGGCCTCATTTGTTTTGTTAAAGATGACCTCCTAGAGCACACTGAGATGTGCAGAAAATCAAAGATGAAGCCATACATTAATTTTGGCAGGAAAAATTGGCTATACAAAGGTAAAACTCCTGAGGAAAATGGGTGACACAATGGAGCTAAATCAGTATAAACATGGAATTGCCCTCTAGTTTTCATTTTGCATACATAAATGCCAAATAAATAATATTATATCACATATACTGAGTAAAAACAACATATCAACATTTGTGAATTACCTTGTATTTTGGAATAGCTTTTAGCAGTTCTTTAACTGGGACATCTGTGCCAACTACTCCCAGGAGAATCCCTTTTGATCTCTGAAAAGAACAATAAGATGTACTGAGAAACACAATGGTAATGAACATTCTCACCAGTAATTTAACATTGTAGCTACTCTAGAGAAGTGATTAGATATCAGAGAGATCATTTGAAAGGTAGGGAAAGCAGAGGAGCAGAGGCTGGTATTAATCCAATCAAGCAGTCATTTAGTCAATAATGGTTCTCCCTTCTACTATATCTGCAATTCAGACAGAAAAGGTAATCAAACTTTCAGTAGTTACTCAGTCCCTCTACAGAAAATTTTCCCATGTGAAATAGTTTCCAAATGAAAAAAGTATAGCTGCAATGTGTTACTCCCTTCATTCAAAATTTATCCTGCCACTCAGTAGGCAAAAGAGAAGGACTAAGCATAAAGTATGCATAATTTTCTTAAGTTAAATTAACAAAAATAAACATATACATACATGATATAAATACCAGTAACTAAATTCTGGATCTACACAATAGAAGCCTACCAGTACAAAGAAGAAAAATATATGGATTATCTTCTGTAAGAGGATAACATAAAAGAAAGAGAGTGCTGTTGCCTGAGTTTTTCTCTTAAACAGAGGGTTTTATTATTTTATTATGGTGTCTAGGGTATACATATTTGGGATTATTTGTTCACATTTTTATGCCAACATGGAGTTATTAACTGTAGCCTAAATAAGAAGAAAATAATAAACATTTATAGAGAAGGCTAAAACATTGTTAGGCTCCTAAAAGCAACTTTCCAGCAGCCACTCTATGATCACACAGCAGAAATAGTCTGAGTACTTACAGTCTCATTTTGCTTACTAAATACCGGCATGGCAACAGTTGTCATCAACACCAATCCCTGATCGTCAGCAAGCTATATTTAAAAAAGAAATATTATCTCTAAGAACCAAGGAATAATTGCAGGCATGATTGCATTTTTCAATTACATTTTCTTCATTAAAATGAGAGAAGGCAATTTATCTAAACGATGCTTATCAATTTAGAATTGCAGTTAGTCCAGCCCAGCCCCACCCTGCTCCATTTCAGCTATAGCAGCTCTGCCCACCCCACCATCTGGACTGGCAGGAAAGATGCTTCTTCTTCATTCCTACTGCAATTTCCCGTGAGAGACACGAAGGGGCTGGAATGTGGATTGTGGAAGCAGCATGTGCAGTAGCAAAGCAGCTGGAGCTCTGTTCCACATCTTTCCCAGTGTCAGCTATGCCAAGATTGCCTTGGGTTGTTTTCTCCCAGCTAGGAACAAGAGGTCATGAGTTGCATGCACTTTGTTTCTGGTTCAGATTGAGATCTCATCAGCTAGCACTGCAGCAGAAAGGATGACAGCCAGTAAGGATCCCAAGAGCATCTTTGCTCCATCCGGTTTCAGTTTGCTGGACTAAGTGGTGGCATGAAGCATTAGCTGATGCTACACTTCAGGTTGCAGCATATTTCTTCAATTTAGTAAGAAAACAGATCTCCTGACCTTGGTTCCATTCAAGAGAAACATGCTTATCATTGACCACAGCAGAGTGGCTTTGCTCAGATTATTGTCTCTTTGTGCTCTCTAGCTATATCTCTCACTGTATCTCTGCCATAAGGCAAGTGTCAGCTGTAGTGCTCAAGCAACAAGCACTGTTCTGTGTGTTTGTGAATCTCCATCATCTACATATGAAAGATAATGCAAGGAGGAAGTTGAGAGTTACTGTCAAACACTTTCTGCCCCTATAATTTTGGAAGACACTTAAAATTTAAAAAGCTTATCCTACTTTTAAAAGTATGACATATCCAGTTATAATCACAACTTTATTGTGATTCATCATTTCTAAGGACAGTTAAGTTCTGCTAAATTGTATCTGTGTTTAGCCAAATTCGCAAGGAGAGACAATCTTATTGAAAAAATTTGGAGGTGAGAGTCATACCAATTGCAACAGTGATATTCTCCTACTGCTGCTCCATCAGTATCATATTTTCTGAACTCAGGCAGTATTTTAAAACACTTTTGTTTTTTGAGAATTTGTGCAATTTTTTTTCCTAACAATACTTTCTTTTTTTTTTTTTTTTCAACTATGAAAAATCTATCAACTCTTTAAATTTTCAGAACACAAAGCCCATATATTGTTACAACAATACTTCACGAATCATGTTTCACGTTAATAAATTAGACCAGGAAAATCTAGAACGTTACATGACTTGCAGCTCCCTGTCTGTTTCAGGAGGGTTTCAGTTTTCCCAACTGAAGCATGGCACTATCTTATGGTGAGGAAGAATGTTTGAAGACATCACACAAACACAAATGAGTTTTAGGATCAAGGTTTACATCTAATAAGGAATCAACAGGGACATGAGGTGGAACCAGCTCATGATCATGTTCTATTATTTGTTTTGTTTTCCCTTTTAATAAATACCTAACTTCCAGTCCTGACACAAATCTTGATCTATTAAAAAATAGTAAATCATTAAGAAACAAACAAAAGAAATACCAACCCAACAAAACACCAAGTCCAGGGGTTGCGCTAAAAGCAGCTGAACTAGCCCAAGAATGTACCCTCTTTGGCTAGAGTCGTACAGTTAAGCACACTGACATGATTTGTATGGAGAGGAGCCTGCTGTGGTAGTGATGTTCAATAGTCCTGAACACATGTACACCAGGAACTGAAAAAGCGTTCTGCTGATCATGAGGTGACATCTTGGAGCGTTTAGAGATTTTATATGATTGCCCAGGGTTGTTCATCTCTGACATTATGAATTTGTCAAGTATCATTATGGAATTATTTTACAGTGAGCCTACTTACTCTCAAGGGATTACTAGAAACAATTTATCAGATAGGATGCCAGCCAAAGGACTTGTCAGTAAAGTTTTAGGGTGTTTGAAATTCTTTAAATGGGGGAAAAAGAATAGCATGGAGTTCCCGGGAAATTTTAAGAGAACTGATCGTGAACTCTCAAAAAGCAACTATAGAAGCATGCACACAATTACTGCCCTGTAATTGTGATGTCTGCAAGTATCTACAATTGCTAATGCAATCATTTTTCATGGAAGTGCGATTTTATTTTTTGATGGGTTTTTACTTTTTCTTTTTTGGTAGATGGGCAGGTTGTTGGCTGCTTCTGTAAGGGGAGTCAGAAAATTACCGGATGATCAATGACTCGTGTTTGGGATGTTTCACTGAGTTACCAACTTATGCTGCAATATTCACTTCTGTTAGATTGTGAGGAGTTACCTCCAGGGGAGGACAACTTTATTCCCTGGGCAATGACATTTTGACAGAATTACTTTGAAATAGTAGAATGGTAGCCACTGGGTATTATTGCTAGGACAATTAAAGCACGAGTTTGTGAATAAACTGCAAAGGAAGCCATGATCTAGGAATTCTGCATTCTTCTTTTTAAGTCTGACAATTTTTGACATACAACAGAACTCTGTGACAGCTTATGCAAATGTTCAAAAAGCTTAGTAATTCTGGGAAATAAACAAACAGAAACATTCTAATCACTGCTAAAACCTCCCAAACTGCTTATATTAATAACAATCATGTATTACTAATATTATGGGACTTACTAGGATTATTATTATTTTTTATTTTTTTGCATCATCAGCAAATACTTATAAGTTAAAGTAAAATATTAGATATCACAAATTCAGAATAACGATTTATAATCATAAAGTTTCTGAGTGGCTGTTCTTTTATTCAGAATTTCATATTATTGTGCAATAATTAGTAAGAGTAATACACTCTTCAGTTACTTATTTACTACTTTTCTCCCCATCCCTATATGTAGATAACCCTTTTCATTTCCAAACTTATTTACTGGCCAATGTCATAGTCTCAGAAAACAATCATGTAGGGACATGCAAAAGAAAATACTGTAACCAAATATTTCTTACAGGAAACCTCTTAAGGTATGATTTTTTTAATCCATAAACACAATGTGCCTACTTCTAAACAATGAGGTAAACTTCTAAACTTCTAAAAAATGAGGTAACAACTCATTTACACATAAGAACAGGGATTTTTAGTGTTGTGGGCAAATACACAGAACAGTATTCATTTGAATATAATGTAATAATCTCATCAGCTGGGTGGTTAAGAGTTACATATAGTAGAGAACCCTAGGAAATGACTGAAAAAAGAAGCAACACACTTTTAATCTCAATTTCTAACTAGACTTTACCTTATCCAATCTCTTAGAACAAACTACTACTAACAGTCACTGCTACTTCCATGAAGACATGCTTAATTTGGCATATTTCATCCTTCTGAGAATTGGAAACTATGTTCTAAGCTTACATGGTTCACCCTTACCAACCTCAACAGATTCTAGAGGATGGTAGTGTTCACAGGAATCAGGTAGGGTATGACAAATGTATCTTTGTACAATACTGTGTTTATTATTTATAAGGTGTCTGCTAAAACAAGACGTTGCTGGTGGATTCATTTTGTTCACAAATAAGGATGAGTTTTGACCTAAATGCTGGAATGTCATCTGAATTAATATGCAGAGCCACCAATAACTCTGATTTCTTCCACCACATTGAGAATTCTTTTTTTTTTTTTTATTCTCCTCTACTACTGTACTGTTTTTTCCAATGTTTAATAATGTTTTTTTTTTTTTTTTACACTGCATAGTATTAATAAATCAAGTTTCTGTTTCTTCAATTTGTAGTAAGTGTCTTAGTTATTCTTCACCTGGAACATCATATTCATTAATGCACCCAAGTTCTGGCTGACATCAAACCCCAGCTCTTAGTTACTCAGCAGCATATCAGTTACTACACTTTGATCACTTTCAAGTGGTTATTTAATAACTCTAGAAGTGTGGAGTCATCTTCCTGCTTAATACTCTGATTACATGCAGCATGGCACTAAGTATACTTGTCCTTTCAAATGCCCCTTAATCTGTTAGATATTTATTTCCCACTGAATAGGAAGGAGTTTCTATTTTCCAAAGACCAATTTAGTATGTTTACACGGGCCTTACATATTACAAAACAAACCCCCAGCTTTACCTTATAACACAGGAATTCACAGACATTTTCTTCAAGAAAGTTTTTCCATAATTTGCAAGCATGGAGGAAAAAAAAATATGAAAAAATAGGCTGCCCCATAAAACAGAGTGGCTGTTTAGAGAACAAAAGAAGTCCCTAATGTTCAGTTCACTTTCTTCTTGCCATTTTCTGACTGTTGCACTTTGATTGAGACCTGCAGCTAATGAGTGCAGTAATCAACATCTCCCATTTAGTGTACAGGCAAGAGAAGCTACAGCAAGCTGCCCAGATTTTCAAAGACAATGTTATTTGAGTTCTATTACTACTAACATCTAATGTATATTACTGTTATTTTGTATTTATATAACAAAGCCAGGCAGTGCTAGTGAGGAAGCAGTCACTGTCTCCTGAGACAGAACAAGTATCAGAGCCCATATCCTTTTTTAGATATTATTTCAGATCCTTCAAAGAAAATATGCAGTACTGTTTCACTTTAGCTGGCTCTTAAGTGAAATTTTAAAATCCTGTTAAATAAGAGTATTCTCTAATCATCACTGCTAAATGAAAGATGCCAAATAAACAATATAAAAATTAATTTTTTAATTACTTTGAAGGGGCAATTCTGCATTTTGTTGCTAATTTTTGAAATGTGGTTAGCCACAGAAAGGAAACAAATTCTGAGTTTGTAAACTTGTAGTTGTTTGGTATCTTTCAGAGTTTAGATTTTGTATTTTAGATAACCACAGAGAATACCAGAGTTTCTAGAATTTGACACTGTATTAAAAAGACAATTGTCCAAGAAAATACTTGATCTGAAACTTTAAAAAATCTATTTTTACAAAATCTATTATGTCTCTGATTTACATTATGAAATCCTAGCAGGCCTA